TGTGTTGATGCGGCACATGGCAGAACCTATTTAGAGCAGGCAGGTTTGCGGGGTCTGGGCTGCCCATCTCCCTGCCCTGTAACAGATTTGGCATCCAACGTGATTTAGGACAGAGCCATCCGTGGTTAGTCAGTCCCATGGGGAAATTGGGCTTCCCTATTGTACTGGCTACCATAAGCGCAAATGTGATTTTTGGTTTCTCTAGTGTGTTTGCTTCATATGTAGATTTGCTGTTTAAAAACTGGCTTGGGCTTTGTAAATATTCTGTGTGTCTGTGTGTAATTTGTAGTGATTTGGTAAGAGATTTCATTTTGTGGAAATTGTTCTGTGCACCAGTTTTATTCAAAAGGCTAGATAGTAGTTTGGACCATGTGGCCAGGTCAAGGATGGCATCTGAGGCCACTTGGCAGGCTTGTAAAACTCAGAAGTTTTTGTTGCTAAGACTGTGGACCTCTTTTTTTTCTTTTTGTCATCTCTGCTGTCTCATTAGCAGTTCTAAAGGCAATAATGATTCTTCAGTGATATGTTGCTTTAACTTCTGCTATTTCCTGACCTCTGCCTGAGGGGTTTTGCAAGCCAACTGTGGAGCAGTGGTGTTTAAATTAGCAAATGTATGCCTGGGTGTTAAGGAAAGAGTAGCCTTAAGCAGTAACTGGTAATTGCTGGTAGCCTTGATGGATTCTTGGAGATAACTTGAGTTTTTGCAAAGTCTGGATCAGAAAAATTAAAAAGATTTTGTCTGAGTCTGAAAGGATTTGCTGCTGTGAATTTTGTTTACAGAATTTGTTTTGGGCATGTTGGCCATTTGAATTCTGGATTTAATTGTTCGTGTAAGACAAGATTCTAAGTTTCTGCTTCCTATTGAGGAAGGTCTGTTGTGGAAAGCACTCTTTATGTTGCATCATGAAACTGTAACAGGTTTTCATACCTGTGTTGTTGCTGTCCCTCCCTAGTGTGGGGGAGGTGTAATATGTGCTTTGATGTTAAATCTGCTCTTTCAGCTTCTGTCCCAGAGTGGCTAAGGTGATGACTCCTTACTTTGAAAGTTAATTGCGATATTTTGATTTTTGCTCTTTCAGGTTCTATTGCAGGGAACCCAAGGATTGCCTGCCTGGTGGCTAACAAGTGATGACTCCTTTCGCTTAAAAGATATCTGTTGATTTGCTCTTTCAGCTGCTGTACAGGATACCCCAGGATTGGCTTCTAATAAAGGCTTGAACACTGAAAACCCTAAAGTGATAAACAAGGTCGTGTAACTCTTGTGATTAATAAAACTTTTTCTTCCTATTTCCAAAGCCTTAGGTTTGTAGGATTGTTATAGGACAGGGAGAGGGGCACCCCAGACCCCCACAAACCTGCCTATTCTAAATGGGTTCTGCCATCCGCCGCATCAACACAAAACATAGGAGACTTTAATGGGAAGGAACTTTAATTAAACTAGGAAACAATACAGGTAAGGCAAAGAGTCTAGTTTCTAAATGAAGCACCCAAAGTTACCCATCCCCTCGTGGGTAAAAGTCCATCCATATGGGATCGGCCCAGAACAAGGCCCCAAAGTCTGCCACAAGTCTAAAACATTTTCCAGTGGGGACCCACAGAAAAGGGTCACAAACAACTGGACAAGCCCGGAAGGAAAAGAGCAAAATCAACATCAAGATAAAAGCTGCCATTGTCACCTCCACACAGGTCTCACCCACATCTGTGTCACCCAGTCCACGACCAAAAGACAAGCGCAGTTTCTTTACGTGTTTCTAGGCTCCATGCGTCTCCTCCAGGTCTTCTGGCTCCATCCTGCTCCTTCCTTCCTCAGTCTCTTCTGAAGCTTCCCCTCTTCCTGCTCAGCTCCACCCTCCCTTGGGTGGGGCAGGGAACCTGGAACCTCCCCCTTTCCTGGGGACCACCCTGTTACAGGATGACAACTGGAACCTATGATTTCTGCCATCAACACTCCACATTTTTCTGGACTTTGACATTTTTTTCTGAGCCTATGGAGTAAAATTGCAGTTACATAAGATATTCCACGTGGCATAACTAAACAAACTGTCTTTGTATGTTGTATGTCTGTATGTCCTTGTGTCTGTCTTGGCCTATAGAAGTTGACAAAATGGTATACATGGTGTCTATAGACATTGAAAAATAAATTAAAGGTTGTGGTTTGATTGTCAACATTGTAATACTGAACTAAGCCGGTGCCTTCATAGAGATTGAATATTGATGTTTCTGCTGTTTTCTGATATTTATGGCAAAGCTTCCCAGAAATCTAAATTTAAGTAAAAATTTGGTAGCCTGTCATTTGGTTGATTAAAGGAAATCTTATGGAACCTCAGTAAAACTCCTGAGACAAGTCACAAAGTTTCTTCCTTTCCTCCTGGGAAAGGCATTAGATGAATTTGTCCTATTTGGCTTACCTAGTAAAGTAAAACTAGAAGGAAGCATTGTCACTTGGGAAAATGGGTAACATCTCGACCTGATATGTATGTAAATTGTCAGTGGTGATTGTTGCCTTGCAATATTGTATATTTAAATTGTTTGATAACTACAGAAATTTTTTCTGGACAAAAATAGGGGAAAAAGGCCTCAGCAGATTCCTATTGATGGAAGTGTTGAGAGTAAAATTTCCTACAAAGGACTAAATAGACTGTTGGAGACACACCTGATTTTTACTAAGTTTTGTTTAACATAATCCTGGTAATTTTTTTTTTTTTTTTTTGCATTTTGCATTTTGTTCTGAATCAACAAAGTTTTCTTGTTTTGGGTGACCAGGATCTGCAGCAATGTTGCATTTTTTTTCAGCAGTGCTAACTTGTGTTAGCATTTTCTCTCCCCTTGATACCAATACAGCATGAAAATAGTGGTAGTAATCTTTTACTACTTATCTCAGAGTCTGTTTTTGCATAACTTCCATAGGGATTTTGTCTGTTTAAAATAAAAAATTGGACATGAGTTTCATTGTGTGGCTTTGAGTGGAGTTCTTCCAGAAAGTTGAAACAGAGCTGAACCAAGAAGAGGAGAACCTGTTGCTTTGTTCGTAGTTTTCCAGAGACCTCCAAAGAAGGTGAGGAAGCTTGCCTCCGTGGGCAGGACTGGACAAACCGGCAAACAAAAAAGCCCTGGTGCCCTCGAGAAGAGGAAGCCCAGGTCGAGTCTGGCAAGACCAACTTTGTTTGTGAAGCCTACATGGATTGGACATCAAGAGTTCACTCTGATCCTATATGGAATATTCCAACAAAGCCAGCTAAAATTGCTGTGTAGCTATTCTGCCCTTTGATTTTATGTGAAAATGGGTAATATGGTTTAAAAGTAGATTTAGTTTGCAAACTTTTGCTTTACTGTTGAAACAATTTGGGCTCAAGGTTGAGAGAACTTTTTTTTACATAAGTTGAACCAATTTTAAGATTTTTTTCCCTGTGATTTTGATATATTTGCTGTCTTGTTTTAGCTAATGCCTCCAGATTTTTTTTTTTTTTTTTTTGGCTTAGATAATGGACTATTTTCCAGAATAGAAAACTGTCATACTGGACATTCATGGACAATGCTGCTGACTCATTGTTGCTTCTCTTACATACATTGTAATCCTGAAAAAAGACTGTCTCCTAAGACTACACCCTGAGATTGTGCCACCATAGATATGGTAGAATAAAAATTAAAAGGGGGAATTGTAACAGGGTGGTCCCCAGGAAAGGGGGAGGTTCCAGGTTTCCTGCCCCACCCAAGGGAGGGTAGAGCTGAACAGGGAGAGAAGAGCCTGCAGAGAAGACTGAGGAAGGAAGGAAGCAGGATGGAGAGCCAGAAGGAGACCTGGAGGGGCCAGATGGAGCGAAGAGACATGTGAAGAAACTGCACTTGCCTTTTGGTCATGGACTGGTTGACACAGATGTGGGTGAGAGATCCATGGGGAGGTGACAATGGTGGTTTTTGTCTTGATTTTGATTTTGCTTTTTTCCCTCCAGACTTGTCTGGTTGTTTCTTTTCCTTTTCTGTGGGTCCCCACTGGGAGATGCTTTAGACTTGTGACAGGCTTTGGGGCCTTGCTCTGGGCCAATCCCATTTGGATGGACTTTTTACCCACGAGGGGATGGGTAACTTTGGATACTTGATTTAGAAACTATATTCTTTGCCTTTCCTGTATTGTTTCCTAATTGTATTAAAGTTCCTTCCCATTAAAGTCTCATATGTTTTGTGTTGATGCGGCACATGGCAGAACCTATTTAGAGCAGGCAGGTTTGCAGGGTCTGGGCTGCCCCTCTCCCTGCCCTGTAACAAAGGGAGTAATGAAATATTCTCCAAAAATGAACAACAATGTAAAAAAATAATAATAAAATAAAACCTGCCACCAAATATTAAAAAAAATTAAAAAATAAAAATAAAGAGTCCCTGTGACTACTATTGCTAGTAGTATTTCATCTGGAATATTTGCCTTGAAATCATATAGAAAGATTGTTGTAGGATAAGTGAAAAAGTCAGGCTTTTCCACCCTCCCACCAGTAGCATTAATGATAGCTCCCTGCGGTCTTACATGCCTGATGGCGGGCACCTGGAGCAGGGTGTGGGCATGCATAGGTGGGTGCACCTGGGCTAAGACTGGTTTATAAGGGCTGCCTCACGGGAAGGAGCAGGAAGGAGAGAAGGAGCACAGCACCAGCAGAGAAGCAGAGACCAAGAGAAGGCCAGAAAGTGAAGATTCCCTGGGAACTGGGAGGCCTGCCAGCTTCCTGGTTCTGGACAGCCCTGTGCCTTGTACCTGGTAAAAGCTCAATAAAAGCCTGAAAAGCCACCGAGGGCTCCAGCACTCTCCTTTATGGGTCTGTGTAGGGTAAAGAAAATATCAGGCTTTTCTGCCCTTCCGCCATCAGGAGAGATGATGGATCCTTGTCCTGAATGCATGCCTGATGGCGGGCACCTGGAATAGGGTGTGGGCATAGGTAGATGGGATTCAGCTGAGCTAAGACTGTGCTTTTTAAGGGCGGCGTCACGGGGACTCCAGCAGCAGCAGCAGAAGCCGAAGCAGAAGCCGAAAGAGAAGCCGAGATCACCAGAGAGCCCAGATAGAGTGAAGATTTGCTGGGGGCTGGGAGGCCTGCCAGCCTCCCGGCCCCCCAGCACCCCTGCCTGCCATACGCCTGGTGAACCCCAACAAAAGACCTGCAAAACCACTAAGGACTCTGACTCCTCCTTTACCCGGTCTGCATGGGATCAGGAAACCTGCTCTGTGTCCTGTCCTGTCTTTGCAGTCTGCTTGGATCATAGAGATCTGCTCTTTGCCTTCCTGCCACTACAATTGTTCTGACGGGTTTAGAGATTATGGGATTGATTGTAAAACTATGGTTTAGAATAATCAAATACTGAATCGGGTCAACAGAATGGTGGATATATGGTTGACCTGGAACAAAACAGTTCTGAACTGCGCTGCTCCACTTAAACACCGATTTTCTACTATTAGCGACTGGGCATTCAAGGGTTCAACCACGGCAGGTGCCTGTAATTAAATCCCGGAAGCAGAAGACCCGGGTTGCCCCAAGGGCCGACTTTAAGGTACAAGTGGATTTTCAACTTGCAGGCTGTCGTCACACTCCTGACACCCAGGTTGTTCAAGGCTCAACTGTATTTGTCCAACTGGGGTTCTGAACTTCTTGGTAAGTCAGAATCATTTCATAAGCGATTAAATCGGTAGTCTTTTGCAGTAAATAGAATTTAGAACAGTGTGCACCGTGAGCAAGGGGTGAAGTGGATTAAAGCCCACATGCAACCCAGGGCACTTATTGTCCAGCCTGGTTAACCGATTTTGATATTTCAGACTCTAGTAAAATACAATGAGTGGTGATTATTCCCAAATGAGGGGTAAACCAAAAAGGTCATTCTGGGCATTGTCATTTTAAAAGGCTTTTTGGAGGATAAGGCCTTGGGACAGGTTTTAAAGACAGTATGAAACAAATAAAGCTGTCGGCAGTGATAAAGGACTAGAGGACGCATATCAAATTAAGGAGAGTCAAGTGCATCAAGGAATGGTCTGTAGTTGTATGGGGCAGGTGTGTGGGATATTTATGATTAGATTTTTTGTCTTATTTGAGATGAAATAAGCTACTTCTATTAGCCATGAATGAGAAAGTATATCCAAAGTATAATTTTAGGTAGTTCTATTTCACTTTTTATTTATAATTCCATATGTCAATCCAGGAACGTCTACTGATAACACTGAATAATTTTCTGCTCTCCAGTGCTCTTTTGAGGAGGTATAGTTTCACATAATTGCATGGAATCCATTATGAACATTCATTTCCTTCAGATTTTTTAATTGAGTGCCTGCTAATTGTTCTCCTCACACCAAGGTCCCAGGTATAATCACTGGTGGTTTTTCTCATTCATCAATAATGCCCACTGTGTTGCAGCAAATTGGTCCATGAATATTTTCTACAGCTCTTTATTAAGTTTTCCTTATTGCTTTGGGAAGACCAGTGCCAAGAACAGACTTTTTGCGTGAAAAGTTATCATTAATTTTGCTCCATTTGCTGGACCTTTGTGAGTCTTTGTAAATTCCCTGTTATTTTAGACTTAACCATAGTCTGAGAACACATTTACAAGATTAAGGTCTGCATTTGAAGGCCTTCATCTATTTCTGATGTACTCTGTAAAAATGATGTTAGTATGGATAATAGTCCCTTACTCTTGTGGAGAAAAGTTTAGTTAATCTGAGTTTTATTTATTTATTTTTAAAAAGATTTATTTATTTATATAAGCACTGCGTACAGTCAGAAGTGCGGGAGGGTGAGAGAATTCACCAGAGCCACAGTGGGGAACAGAACAGGCAGACTGACGAAATACACTGCTTAGGGGAGCAGCGGGCGGCAGGAGAGGTCTGCGCGCCATATTGGACCCTCACTGGTGGCCTGGGATCGGACCGGCCCTCAGAGGCTGCGGGCAGCTTTGCAGCCCAGCGCTCAAATGCTGCGCCACCAGGGAGGCCCTAATCTGAGTTTTAAAAAGGTCCTGGGACCCCCAGGTTTCTTCACTTAGGAATGAGGATGAAAAACTGCTTAGTATCCAGAAAATAGTTTGCCTTCCTATGCCTTCTCCCCAAGTCATGAAGGAGATTGAGGCCAAGAGGGCAGAGCCATAGAAATCAAGAAATCTGGGAGGAGTCTGTTGAGCAGAATCAGGGTATAATAAGAAACATTTGCAACCCTTAGACTGCTGGGATCTGGTAACATTTTTCCAATGGGATTTCAGAGTAGCTATGATGCAGTGATTATTACATGCCTCCTGTTTTACTTTTCTGATTGGAGTTCTTACTCACTTTATTCTTACCCTATTTGTCTGTTGGGTGTGTACTGTTTAGATAACTTGTCATTTCATTAAGGGGTCTCTGGTAATGAAGCTACAGTTAGGCCTGAGATATTTTACAAAGTACTGGACTTTGAACATGATGTTGTGATTAGGTGAGACATTTAAGGGTCATGGGGTGGAGGGGTAGATAAAAGTGTGCTTTGTATATAGTAAGGATATGAATTAATATAAACAGAATTGACTGGAATAGTTAATGTGATTGTTCAGCAAAGACTCCTTTCATCCTCCCAGGTCCTATGCTGCTGGGTTAGCCATATGATGCCACTGGCTTTGGCCAATGGGGTGTTAGTGTATATTATATAAGCAAATGCTTGAAATGTACTTCAATCTCTGCCATAAGAATATGCCCTGGGAAGCCTGCTGGTTCTTGGAGAAGGGAGACATGTGGATCAGAGCCTCCTCAGCTTTGCCCACCTGTACCTCGAGGTTGTCACCCTAGTCAACTCCAGACCTAGGAGTATGAAAGTGAAAGTTTATTACTGTCATGCCACAGCATCTGTGAGATATTTGTTGTACATCAATAGCTGACTGGTGTAATGCTATATCTTGGGCACCATGCTAAGTACTTAACAATTTTTGAGTTGCATGAAATGTGTTATGAGCTCCGTTTTGCAGGAGAGTGGACTTTAGAGAAGTTCTGTAATAGAGTGTGCTTATAGCCAGGTCTCTCTGGTTCCTCTTTAATCCTGTCAGTATCTTTCAATGTTCTGGAAATTTCATGTGTGATAATTTTCTTCCATTTGGTTGGTATAAGGTAATTTTCCTACTCTTACCTAAAGATTATCTGCTTTTAGATGAATATATTCTGTGGATAGGATAAGAGAACTTTCTCTCTGCCTGCCTGCTGTTTTTGACCTAAACAGAGATGACTCCAACAGGGCTGCCTATAGCCCAGTTGTGAAGCTGGCAAAAGTTCATTTTGGGCCATGTGGTTGCCCCAGTTTATGTTGCTACTTCTTTTTTACAGTGAACAGTAGCACCCTTAACCTTCCAGTGTGCCTTTTGAGTCCTACTCAAATCAAAGAGATCTGAAACATTTACTTGGTGAAAGAAGCTCATCAATACTGAGTACTCTTGATCCTAGTTCCTTGCATTTTAATCTTTTTATCTCTAAATGTGGGATTTAGGGCCTTCTCTGTTTTTTGTTTTTTTTTTTTAAAGATTTTTTGTTTATGCATACAAGAACTGGGGTACAGGCTAGAGGTGTCAGGGGTGAGAGGACTCACCAGAGACAGAGTAAGGAACAGAACAGACAGATTGACTGAAATACACTGCTGAGCTGAGCAGCGGGTGAGTCAGCAGAGGTCTGCTGCACCATGTGGGTAGCTCCCTGGCAGGGGATCAAACTCTTGCTTCAGAAGCTGTGGATAGCTTCATAGATTGCATCTTAACCCCTTGTGCCACCAGAGAGGTAGGGCCTTCTATTCTCTTAAATGTATTTGAGGTAGGCAGTTCGAGAGAGAATCTCTTCAACCCTAAAATACTGTCTTAACTAGGTCTAGCTCTGAAGAGCCAGAAGGTAAAAGAAGTGTGGACAGTGAGTTAAAGGAAAGAACAAAATGTAGATTTGAGTCCACTCCAAGTGTCAGTGTATTTGTGTTCTGCTGTAGCATCTAACCCCTCCAGATAGAAACTGACCTACTGAGAACATGTTATAGGAGGTACTACCTACCTTTGTCACCTACAAGTTGAACCTTAGCAGAAATAAACAGGGCTCTCTATTGCAACCCTAAGCACTAAGGAACTGACTTATAGCACTTCTCTTGCTTGTTACAAAAGTACTTTTATATTGCAAGTTTTTTTTTTATATATATATAACAACTATGCCTTATATTGAGTGTTGTTTACTTTTAACTTGCTAGGCTTTTCTTCACTAAGGAAACTGGTAAAAATCCATAGCCAGGGAAAAAATGCCCCCAAACCTCATTCAGGACAGAATGTTTTTTGTGCAACATAATTCATGATTTTTTTCTGGGAAGATGTTACTAAAATACTAAGCAATTTTCTGAAAATTAATAGGACTAAACTTTATTTTTAGAAAACTTGTTATCCTTTCTTTTAGGAATCTAATAATGTTCTTTTTTTCCTTTTGTATTTCATTTAACAAAGATTATTCAGATTGAAGCTTTAAATTAGCATGCTAATTAAATTGCAGGCCTAACAGCAAAATTGTAATCAAATGTTTCCCTGTACTTATAAACGGTAAATTCATAGCCAAACTTATCTATAACTAAATTTCTAATGTCAGATTTTTTTTTTTTAAAACAACTTCTGATAGGGCTGTGTAGGGTAAGGTAAAAAGTATCAGGCTTTTCTGCCCTCCCGCCATTAGGATAGCTGAGGGAACCCTGTGGTCCTGAATGCCTGCCTGATGGTGGGCACCTGAAGTGGGTACACCTGGGATGAGAACCTGAGTTTATAATAAGGGTGACGTCACAGAGACGCCAGCAGAAGCTGAGAGAAGGAGAACAAAAGAGAAGGCCGGAGAGCCCAGATAGAGTGAAGACTTGCTGGGGGCTGGGAGGCCTGCCAGCCTCCCGGCCCCCCAGCACCCCTGGCTGCCATGTGCCTGGTAATTTAAATAAAAAACCTGCAAAAGCCACCGAGGGCTCCAGGATTCCTCCTTTACCCGGTCTGCTGGATCAGAAAACCTGCACTGTGTCATGGCAGGCTGACACTTCAATTTTTTGCTGGAGACTACTTATCCTTGGTTCACTCTGCTTTTTCTCCAGTATCTGGGGGCAGGATACGGGGGGATGACTGATCTCAACCTTGGTGGACTCCATGTTATATGATAATTACAAAATGCCTACAATGAAATAGTTACTCAAATAGTGTTGATTTCTTTCCTTATATCCTCTGTCTTTCCTTCCTACCTTTTTCATATCCTCTACTCAGAGAAGCCCTATCTGTTACGTGGTTTTAGGGCTAGATTTCCCCTCCAAATAGCAGACTGCTTGTCCTCATTCTCTGCTCATGATGGTTCACAACATCCACATTAAGTATTACCTTTATGTTTTTTTTTTTTTTTTAAATATTAAATTTTATTTTTATATTCCCCCATACAATTGCAAACGCCCCATTCTGACCCCAATCCTTCCCCTCCCGCCCCCCACCCCCCAAAAAGTGTCTCTGGTTCATAGTTTTTTGTTGATTTTGATTTTCACTTTCTTATATTCATTTTCCTGGTCCCTTATTTAAGTTTTCTAGATTCCTGCTATGAGTGAGACCATACCTTTATGTTTTTAATAGAATTCTGGCCTTTCAACATACTGCATTAGTCACAGAATAA